CCTTTGTTTTCACACTTAACAATTACTGCAGGCTATCACCTATAGCCCGCTGTCTTTATATCTGCCTTTCTATCTCATATCTCTTCAAAGTCAGTCCAGGTACATCATGTGAAACCCCAATTTCCCTCCAGCTCAACGTCTTCTCTCCTTTTTCAAATATCCCTAAGGCAAACTTTTTAGATGTTTCATTAGCCCCTAACCATACCCTACTTGGTAAAACACTTATCTGTGGATGTCTCTTTTATGCTCCCAGGGGGCAGGGATTGCGTTCTTCTCCCCACCCCCCAGCTTCAGAACCTAACATAATGGCTTACACACACAGCAGGCTCTTAATAAGTGCTTGCTGAATGCTTTTATAACATGGAAGCACTGGCTGGGTTATCAGGTTTGCCGGAAACCTGCCCAGAAGGCTAAAGACCTACCTGGGTGGTTGGGTGGTTGTTGTTCTTTGTCCTCAAGGAGGACCAAAATCACATCACAACACTAGAGTCAAGTCACAAGGTGTTCAATGATGGCTGATCAGACCAATATAAGCCTCGAATGTTCTACCACAGGCAGGACACAAATAGTCCATGTGAACATTTGGGGTGGATTCTCTAAATTCTCTCTAAAAACCTACCTAGTAAATCTGGGAAAGAGTGTCACAGACTAAGCAACTAGCTAAAGGTGCTAGGAATGAAGGGATAGGAAAAGGGAAAAGGGAAAGGAATTACTATGGCTGTGCCTGAAACCCAGTAGGTACTATATAAATATTAGCTATTATTATTATCATTGTTATTGTTATGGTTTTGGAGGTAAGTGTGGAATTGGGAGTTATGGGGTAGGTAACAATATTTTTCAGAGTGTTGGGCTTCGAGTCAAGGAAACGAGTTTAGATCCCACCTTCATTTATAAAAAGAAGGGTTTAGATTCAATAGTTTCTTCCAACTTGATGCGATCCTATGATTTTCCTGCTCAAGCTATAGCTTCTCTACTAGCTCAGTGTTATTTATGTCTTAGTCTGAAAAAAATCATCCAATGTAGTAGATTCCTTCTGCAATTTAAAAAGTCTTTGCTCTTGAAGATTTAAGTCACAGAATAGTAACTAACCAAACAAGGATAAAAATTAATAGGAAAAGCTTCAGTTGCAAGTAAGTAGATCATTTTGAAGAAAACTACAAATAGGATAAGTTTTGATGGAAAGAAGCACTTTTTTCTAAGCTTTTCTTTAAAAAGTATGAGGCTACTTAATTAAAAATAAGAAAATAAAGTAAAGAAAGTTACGCCCCTTAAAAATAAATCATAACACTGATTCCTTCCCTCACAGTCTTTCTAGGCTATCATATGCTATCATACAAGGTTACAATTCTGATTTCAAATGGCACATTTTAACATCTGCAAGTATACAGTATATCAAACTCAATGAGAGAAAGTGGGTGAGGAACGGGGGAGAGAAGCTGCTTCCCTTCTTTTGTTCCTCATAAGAAGAAATGAATTTAAAACGGACATATGTATTCATTGCTCTGGAAATGGCTCAGGATTTGTAGTGAGAGGACAGGGAACAAAGTTGCTTCCTCGGCTACCTTACTACCTCACTGACTTAATGAAATTTTATGGACTACTTTGTAGTCTACTTGAAGACAGAGACATCATGTTATAGTTCTCCGTATTCATACTATCTAACATTTAACATTAGTCAGGTCAACAAATATTTAAGTGAGTTCTTCAATCAGGTTTCAATCTAGGAATTATCCTCGACTCTTCCCTCTTACACATCCCCCTATATTCAATCACTTGCCAAGCCTCGTCTGTTCTGCCTCCTTAAGAGTTATTGGTCTTCTTCTCACTAATTATACTACATCCATCCTAGTCCAGCTCACACTTCTCACAGAGACTACTGCAAAGGCCTGACTGTTTCCAATGCATCCAGTCTTTCCCTCCCCAATTTAACCAGACAGCCAACAAACTGATATTCCTAAAGTGCAGAAGTTTCAGTAAATCCCCTTTGTCTCGTCTGTTTGGCTTTTAACATTCTTCACAATTTGGATCTAGCCCATCTCTCCAGAGAGATAGCATATTATTCCCCTTAATGAACTGTGTGTTCCAGCCAAACTGGCCTACTTCATATTCCAATCTCCCACCTCCACGCCTTTGTACAGATTGTCCCTCAAGCTTGGAATGATCTCCCTCTTAGAACCCCTAGCTCCCTTCAAGGCTCAGCTCTGACACTATCTTCTTCAAAAGGACTTTACCAATTCCTCTCAGCTTTTAGTAGCCACCACAAATTACTATGTTTTTATTTTGCATTTGTTTTTATTGGCTGAGTCTTGTCTTTTCTACCTGCGTAACACTGTATATCCTCCCTTCTCCTGTGACACTGCTACTACTCTGGTTTAAATCCTTACCATCGCAGACCTGAACTACTCCATTCCAATCTATTTCTCTACTTGGCTGTAAAATCGATCTTCCTAAACTATAGGTCTGACCTTGGCAACCCCTACTCATTCAACCCCAGAGGCTCCCTCTGGATTACCTCTAAGATCAGACATAAAATCCTGTTTGGCTTTGGACACCCTCCATAAACTGGCTCCTTCCTACCTTTCTAGTCTTCTTAACACTTTATTCCTCTTCACCTATTCTATGACCCAGTGATATTGGCCTCCTTGCTGTTCTTTGCACAGGACACACTATCTCCTTACTCTAGGCATTTTCACTAACTGTTCTGCATGCCAGGAAGGATACTCTCCTTCCTCATGTCCCCCCTCCAGTCTTCCCTGGCTTCCTTCAAATTTCAGCTAAAATCCTACCCTTTGCAAGAAGCTCTTCCTACTACTCCTTAATTTTAGTACTTTCTCTCAAAGGATTACCTCCAATTTATCTTGTATACATCTTGTTTGTAGATAGTTGTTTTGCCCTTAGACTGTAAATTCCTTGAGGGCAGAGATTATATTTTTCTTTCTTTGTATTCCCAGCATTTATCACAATTAAAGGCTGGCACCTGTAACAGGTAATTAATGAAGATTTGTTGACTTTACATGCGCATATCCTGTATTAACTTATCCCTATCAGCACTGTATCCCCAATCCCAGTCCAGTGAAACTTAAGCTCCTTGAGGGCAGAAACTTTTCTATTTGTTATTTCCAGTGCCTGGCACACACTATGAACTTCAAAATGAATACTGATTAATTAGGCTATTTGGGTAAAGTTGGAAAACTCATACATCCTATAATTCCCACATCTGTCTCTAGTCCTGAAAACTCTTTTATCTCTGTTACTAACTGGTTTTTTAGCCTTTGATCTCAATACTGCCCTATTACCCTTTGCTGCAGAGGCAACCTGGATTAGGGTAGAAAATGGAAAGGCATTCCTGGAGTCAGGAAGACCTGGATTTAAATTCTTCTTCCAGCTGAACTTAATCTTTTGGTGCCCCAAGCCACTCTCTAAGATTATGAATTACAGACAAGTTATCTATTTACATCAGTGGAGGGAGTTTTTAAATATACATACTGGAATAGATGTTCTCTAGCATCTCTTTCTGCCCCAAATCTATGATCCTAGTAACACAGTATACATAACATATATATATGTATATATATATATATATATATATATATATATATACATATATGCACACACACACATAAATATATCTCATGCTATTGAAGCTAAAAACTGCACTAAGACTTTTGCAACACCCTAAGGATACACAAACGAAAAAAAAGGGGAACAGAATTTCCAGAGCATTTTATTACATAGAGCAAGTTTCTTTGGGGCCCAAATTCACTGAAAGTACTTGAAATGTGAGTTGAAAATACTGAAAGAAAAAAATTTTCATCACTTGTAAAGAGGTTAGGCCCAGAGTTAATAATAACTAATGTTCATATAGTGCTTAAAGGTTTGCAAAGTTCTCTACCCATATGATTTCATTTGAACCTCACAACTCCCTTTAGATAGGTGCTATTATTCTCCCCATTTTACAGATGAAACTGAGGCAGATGAAGGTTTAGTGATTTGCCCAGGTCACTGCCGGTAGATATCTGAGGCAGTTGGAACCTAGTTCTTCCTGACTCCAAGTCTAAAGCTCTATTCACTATGACACTAAATACCATCTTTACTAGGATCACAGATTTGGAGCAGGAAGGGATGCTAGAGGTCATCTATTCCACATCTCACATTTTACACATGAGGAAACTGAGGTCCAGAAAAGTAAAGTGACTTGCCCAAAGGTCCACTAGAGTGATGGACCGAGGATTTGAATACATGATGTCCTTTGATGCCACGTTGTTGTTGAGTCGTTTTTCAGTCGTGTCCCAATCTTGGAGACCTCATTTGGGGTTTTCTTGGCAAAGATACTGAAATGGTTTGCCATTTCCTTCTCCAGGTCATTTTACAGATGAGGAAACTGAGGCAAACAGTCACTTAAGTGACTTGCTCAGGATTACACAGCTAGTAAGTGTCCCAGGCCACATTTGAGCTCAGGAAGAGGAGTTTTTCTTGACTCCAGCCCCTGAGCTCTACTCACTGCCCCACCTCGCTGGCCAAATGACTCCAAACCTTTCCACTACCTCAGCCCCCTCCCCAAAGTTGCCATTTCATCCCGATGGCACACAGTCAGCGTCCATACCCTTGGGACTTCAATGCTCCAGTTCTCCCCACCCCAGTTCCACCTTCCCAATGTCTCGGAAAGCCAAGACCTCATGCCTTTTCCTCTGGCCTTGGGGATTCCGAGGCGCTGGCAGCTTGTCCTCCCTTTCGGCCTCAGGCTCGCCTTCCTCAAGTGCTAGGCTACTTTCCCACTAAGGGACAACGTGGGCCTGTCCGCACCCCGGGCTTCCCCCCGGGGCTCCCCGAGAAGGGTACGCGGAGCGAGGAGGCCATGGCAGACATCTCAGGGCCTCGCTCCTTTCCGAGACCGCCTCGAGACCAGGGCCGCCCCGAGCAGGAAGGAGGGCGGGCGGATCCCACTGCGCCGTCGGCCCCGCTCGCTCCCTTCTCCTCTCCCGGCCCCAGCCCCCACAAACCTGCAGGGCGCGCCGGGCCTCCCCGGGGCTCCCCGTTTTCCCGCTGCTTCGGCCGGTAGCCGTAGACGCCTCGCTCGGTCTGGTAGCCGCGGCGGAGAAGAGGCCGGGGAATGCACCCGAGGTTCCGCCTCGCGACGGCGGCGGCGAGTGAGTAGGCCATGGCCCCGTCGCTCCCAGCGTGGCCCGGGCCAAGAGACGTCGGCCTAGCAGAGGCTCTGAACCCCCAGGTTTGGGAAAGCGCGGCCCGCTCGCCGGCCCGGGAGCCCAGAACCTCCGACACCGCCCCCGCGCCGGATTGGCTCATAAGAGACCGGCCCCGCGGAGAAGGCCCGCCCCTGTCCCCCCCCACGCCCCGGTGCCAACGCTCTGGGTAGGAGCTTGTGGGGAGGGAAGGAGTGGGCGGAACTTTCAGGACGGGGAATGATTGGCTTACTTACAGAACAACGCAAAACAAAACCTCTCTGTGCGTCTTCCCCTCCGGGGCCCGTGGAACTAGCATTTTTCATTTCTTTCGTGCCCCTTTGTCCCCAGCTCTCCCCACCTCTTCGGCCCCAAACTAAAAGCTACAAGTCTTCCCCCCATTACCCAAAGTCAGCCCTAAGATATAGGGGAAAGAATAGTGGAAGAAGACAGGTAGGTGAGGCAACATGGTAGTGGATAGACGGGCTGGACTTGGGAGTTTGGAAAACCTCAGTCCCGGTTGGACCTCGGACCTTAGTTGTGTGACCCTAGGCATGCCATTAATTCTTCACGCTAAGTTTTTTCATATGTAAAATGGGAATAAAAATAATGATGATGATGCTAAAAACACGGTGAGATGCACATGAGATAATATATGTATCTTTACAAACCTTAAAGTTATAGAAATGCTAGCTATTGTTCGGGGTGCGAGGACGAAGGAAGTCTGAGAGATGAAAGAGGGGTAAAGACTAGAAAATGAATTTTTTTTCTTTTTGGAAATTTTATCTGGATCCTAGATCTAAAAGCGATCTCATCTAACCTCCTTTTACAGATGAAGAAACTTGAGCCTAGATAAATTAGATTAGGAGAAGGTCACAGCTAGTAAACAGAAGGGGCAATATTTGAACTCCCCATCTTCTGAATTTAGTGTTAGCAGGATTTTACTGAGCCAGTGTCTAACTTGAGAATGAGGAAACAGTAGGACAGAGACAGAGTGCCAGTAATAAGGTAGCCATTTAATTAGTTTCATTATAAGGAACAGATTTGCAAATCGGCAACTCTCCTAGTCTGAATTCCATACTGCTGAAGTGAAGACAGAGATCATATACATAAATCACAAGTGGGAAGGACGGTGGATTATAAACAACGTTTTCCCAGGCTTCAGCGGTTTCCCATGACAAACACACAAATGGTACAATTCTGGAGTCTTGTGGGAGTAATGTTGCTGGAGTCCTTGGGGGTCGTTACTTGGAGGGTCTAAGGACCAGAGTTTTGTAACAGTAACAGGTTCTTCAGTCTGATTCATTTCACTTCAGGCAGAAAGATGCCAGTGATTGTGAGCCTTGTCAAAGTTTCATTCATCATTTTGAGCTACATTGTGTGCTCCCTCACAAGACAGGCACTTCTGAAAAATCTAATCTATTAGTACATTCATTACATATATCATATTGATTATTATAAAAATCATAATTCCCTTCACAGCATCCATATTACCAAACACGGTAATTCACTCTTTTGGGATGTCAACTGGACCAAACTGACCTTTGGGTGGCCAGAGCCGAACAGAGCAGGTTAGAGGTAGGAGAGTCAGAAATCATACAGAAGTTTAATTTCAAAGTGAGGGAAATGGCTTGCAAGCAAGGAGGGGATCTAGACACGTGGGGCAGGGCCCCATCCCTGATGGAGCGACCTGCTTTTTAGTATAGCTAAACCATGATACTTATACCAATAGCTACACAGTGAGCTGTAGCCCTGACAATGAGGAATAACAGCAACAATGGGACAAGTTTGATTCATAGCAGGACTTCATGATGGGAATATTGGTATTTGTCCAAGCCTGTGCTTGTCTGAGCTCAGAGAACACCTGATGCTGGACAAAGCAATACAATAATTATGTGATTTTGCTAAGTGAGATCATCCAGAGGTTGAGTGCAAAGGATTGTTGTTATGCCAAGCTCAGGGCACAGCTTGCTTGCTGGAGCTTAGCTCTGAAAAACAGGGTGTCTCCTAATATCTTGACAAGGAAAAGAAAGCTGGCCCAAGACACTACTCCAGATCCTAGCCATATCCAAGCAATAGCCTAGACAGGAAACACAGTCTCCCATCTTGCCTTTTTTAGACAAGATTTCATCAACAAAAGAAGTTGGGGGTCTTTGTCTGAAGAACCCAGGGCTCCTTGAGGTATTGTTCTCATTGCTTCATCTTTTGTATCTGTTAAGCTATTCAAGTTATAGAATCACAGAATTTTAGCACAATAATGTACTGATATTTCCTGAGATGAGCTGCTTCCACATCTCTACAGTCTGCCCCTATGGTGAATTGCCTTCTTTTCAAATACAAGTAGTACTTTTTGTCTACTCATGTGTGGTTCTGTGTTGATATTTTAAATGGTTGTGGTAGTTAATTGTTAACTAGACAACAAGAAATCCTTTCTATCTCCTCCAGAAGAAATCCAACTGAATAACAGATCAAGTGAGGACTCAATAATTAAGATGAGAGGGTGGAGACAGTTAGGAAAGTAAAACAAAAATTACAAAAGGACTTGAATGTCGGGTGAAGGAATCTGAGCTTAAAGAAAGAGAAGTCATTGGAGATTTTTGAGCAGGACACTTACAAAATTGTACATTAGGAAGGTAAATATGATGACAGTAGAGTTGTTTAGAAAAAGAATGTTTTGAAGTAGGGAATAGACCAATTAATAATAATAGCATTTATATAGCACCTACTGTCACCAGGCATTGTGCTAAGTGCTTTACAAATATTTCCTCATTTGACTCTCACAACAACCCTGGAAGGTAGATGTTATTATCATCCCCATTTTACAATTGAAGAAACTGAGGCAAGCAGTAATTAAATGACTTACCAATCATCATGTAGCTAGTAAGTGTTTAAGGTTTGATTTGAACTTAGGTTTTCCTGACTCCAGGCCCAGTCTCTATCCACTGAGCCACCTAACTGCTGGAAAGTGATTGTAATATTTCATGTAAAAGAAAACTACTAGGGTGAATGAAACTAGGTGGTATCAATGGGAATGAAAGAGGTACTGAGGCAGTAAAATCAAAGCGGGAGAATATTGGGAGGGGACAGAAGACTGAGATTAGATTTGGGAGGCAGCTGAATATGTGCTTCTGGAGCTAGGGAGAGGAATAGGAAAGGAAGATAAAGATTTCTAGTTACCCTAAGAAGGGAGAGTTGAAGTTGTATACACACTACTGCCAGATTAATAGTCCTAAAGCCAAATTATGACCATGTCAATTCACTAGTCAAAACCCTTCAATTTTGGTCATTGCCCACTGAATCCAAACTTGTTGTCTTGTACTAGCATTGAGAGACTGCTCAATTGAGCCCACAAGGTCGGAAGTAATATGTCTCTCCCTATCCTGTAGACAACGTGAAATTGAATCTGGTTCAGTACAGAAGAGCCTGCCTTAGTGACAGAGGACTCCCTTTTCTAACACTAGGTTTCAAATAGTCTTAATGCACTTTCAAAAAAGTAAACTATTCCTGGACTTGTTAGGGGAGAGGAGAACTTCTGTCTTCATCACAGAAAATAAACCTCAAAAACATAATACCTAACTGTTTTTTTGCACATAGTAGACCTTCATTAATTTAATAACCAGTTATTCAGCACCTCTTCTTTGCAAGTCACTGTGCTACTTGATAGAAGAGATAATAATAGTACCCCAGTACAAGGTCTAGGAAGCATTCTCCCACCCTGCACACATCCTGGTAGGTCAAGTCCTCAGATAGCAGGTGTTTACTCTACTCTGGCTCTTGCTTAATCTAGGGGTTATCCTGTAGGCTTTTCTAATATGCTTTTTCATGATTCCCCATCTGATGTGTTTCCCCCATTATTAATCATCAGTTTCTATATCCTCAATTTCATTTAACAAATTATCATCAATTATCTTTTACAAAGGTCTTTTTCCTGAAAGAAGGAACTTAGAGCACATCTCTCTGCACATACATACACTATCAGGTTCCTGGGAAAAGATGATTCAAATTTGAAGTGATTGTTACAAAATAACTCTCTCCAACAAGTTCCATTCCAGGTATGGCACAGCTGATGGACAAATCATTCCTTTATTTGCAGGACACAGAATCTTAGCTGCTGATTCCATTTGCTGTTGGGCAGGGTCTAGCAAGTAGCTGCTCAGAGCTCTCTCCCCCATACTACTGCTACTAGCTCTGATTGCTGAGGGGACAATGGATGGCTCTTCTTATCTTTCCAAGCTCACAAGGTTATAACTTGGTTCATTTCATCTCTGGTACTCATTCACTTAATATCAGGAAAGAACCAACCAAACAGAGAGATTAGCTTGAAAACACAGAGGCACCATGAATTCATGGACATATGAATATTCCTAAAATATATGAAACAAGAGTCAAAATGTGTTTTTATGAATTTACAAATTAAAGTGTTTTTTAATAAATGAAATGAGAGTGTCAGATTTAAAAAAATTAGAAAAGAAATGAGTTAGGGAAGAAAAAATTGGAAAAGCATTTAACGGCTTGGAATAGGAGGTACAAAGCCTTGTTCAAGCAATGAACTACCTGAAAATGAGAATAAACCACACAGAGGTTAATGACTTCATGAGACCATAAGAAATATTAAAACAAGGACCAAAAGCTGAAAAATAGTAGAAAAATTAATTTCAGCAAAAACAAGTGACCTGGAAATCAAATTGAGGAGAAATAATTTAAGAATTACTGGACTACTTGAATGTCATGATCAAAAAAAAAAGGGAGAGAGGGCAAGAAGGAGAGAGAGAGGGAGAAAAGGAAAGAGAGAGAGAGAGAGAGAGAGAGAGAGAGAGAGAGAGAGAGAGAGAAGAGAGAGAAGAGAGAGAGAGAGAGCCTAGATATTAATTTCAAGAAATAAAGGAAACAGAAATGATCCACTGTTTACCTCCTGAAAGAAATCCGAAAACAAAAACTCCAAGAATCATCATAGTCAAAAGCCATTATAGCCAGAGATTCAAGGTCAAAGGGAAAAAAAAAACATACACAGCAAGCAAGCTGCCAGAAAAAAAAAAAACTCATGTACTGAGGAGTCACAGTAAGGATCACACATGTAACCTGTGTTCCAAAGCTCATTTGCATAAGA